TCAGTCATGTGTGTGTCAGTGTGTTTCAGTCATGTGTGTGTCAGTGTGTTTCAGTCATGTGTGTGTCAGTGTGTGTCAGTCATGTGTGTGCCAGTGTGTGTCAGTCATGTGTGTGTCAGTGTGTGTCAGTCATGTGTGTCAGTCATGTGTGTGTCAGTCATGTGTGTGTCAGTGTGTTTCAGTCATGTGTGTGTCAGTGTGATTCAGTCATGTGTGTTTCAGTCATGTGTGTGTCAGTGTGTGTCAGTCATGTGTGTGCCAGTGTGTGTCAGTCATGTGTGTGTCAGTGTGTGTCAGTCATGTGTGTCAGTCATGTGTGTGTCAGTCATGTGTGTGTCAGTGTGTTTCAGTCATGTGTGTGTCAGTGTGATTCAGTCATGTGTGTTTCAGTCATGTGTGTGTCAGTGTGTGTCAGTCATGTGTGTGTCAGTGTGTTTCAGTCATGTGTGTGTCAGTGTGTTTCAGTCATGTGTGTGTCAGTGTGTGTCAGTCATGTGTGTGCCAGTGTGTGTCAGTCATGTGTGTGTCAGTGTGTTTCAGTCATGTGTGTGTCAGTGTGTGTCAGTCATGTGTGTGCCTGTGTGTCAGTCATGTGTGTGTCAGTGTGTTTCAGTCATGTGTGTGTCAGTGTGTGTCAGTCATGTGTGTGCCAGTGTGTGTCAGTCATGTGTGTGTCAGTGTGTTTCAGTCATGTGTGTGTCAGTGTGTTCAGTCATGTGTGTGTCAGTGTGTGTCAGTCATGTGTGTGTCAGTGTGTTTCAGTCCTGTGTGTGTCAGTGTGTGTCAGCCATGTGTGTGTCAGTATGTTTCAGTCATGTGTGTGTCAGTGTGTTTCAGTCATGTGTGTGTCAGTGTGTGTCAGTCATGTGTGTGTCAGTGTGTGTCAGTCATGTGTGTGTCAGTCATGTGTGTGTCAGTGTGTTTCAGTCATGTGTGTGTCAGTGTGTGTCAGTCATGTGTGTGTCAGTGTGTTTCAGTCATGTGTGTTTCAGTCATGTGTGTGTCAGTGTGTGTCAGTCATGTGTGTGTCAGTGTGTTTCAGTCATGTGTGTGTCAGTGTGTTTCAGTCATGTGTGTGTCAGTGTGTTTCAGTCATGTGTGTGTCAGTGTGTTTCAGTCATGTGTGTGTGTCAGTGTGTGTCAGTCATGTGTGTGTCAGTGTGTTTCAGTCATGTGTGTTTCAGTCATGTGTGTGTCAGTGTGTGTCAGTCATGTGTGTGTCAGTGTGTTTCAGTCATGTGTGTGTCAGTGTGTTTCAGTCATGTGTGTGTCAGTGTGTTTCAGTCATGTGTGTGTCAGTGTGTTTCAGTCATGTGTGTGTCAGTGTGTTTCAGTCATGTGTGTGTCAGTGTGTTTCAGTCATGTGTGTGTCAGTGTGTGTCAGTCATGTGTGTGTCAGTGTTTCAGTCATGTGTGTGTCAGTCATGTGTGTGTCAGTGTATGTCAGTCATGTGTGTGTCAGTGTGTGTCAGTCATGTGTGTGTCAGTGTGTGTCAGTCATGTGTGTGTCAGTGTGTTTCAGTCATGTGTGTGTCAGTGTGTTTCAGTCATGTGTGTGTCAGTGTGTGTCAGTCATGTGTGTGCCAGTGTGTGTCAGTCATGTGTGTTTTCAGTATGTGTCAGTCATGTGTGTCAGTCATGTGTGTGTCAGTCATGTGTGTGTCAGTGTGTTTCAGTCATGTGTGTGTCAGTGTGATTCAGTCATGTGTGTTTCAGTCATGTGTGTGTCAGTGTGTGTCAGTCATGTGTGTGTCAGTGTGTTTCAGTCATGTGTGTGTCAGTGTGTTTCAGTCATGTGTGTGTCAGTGTGTGTCAGTCATGTGTGTGCCAGTGTGTGTCAGTCATGTGTGTGTCAGTGTGTTTCAGTTATGTGTGTGTCAGTGTGTGTCAGTCATGTGTGTGCCTGTGTGTCAGTCATGTGTGTGTCAGTGTGTTTCAGTCATGTGTGTGTCATGTGTGTGTCAGTCATGTGTGTGCCAGTGTGTGTCAGTCATGTGTGTGTCAGTGTGTTTCAGTCATGTGTGTGTCAGTGTGTTCAGTCATGTGTGTGTCATTGTGTGTCAGTCATGTGTGTGTCAGTGTGTTTCAGTCCTGTGTGTGTCAGTGTGTGTCAGCCATGTGTGTGTCAGTATGTTTCAGTCATGTGTGTGTCAGTGTGTTTCAGTCATGTGTGTGTCAGTGTGTGTCAGTCATGTGTGTGTCAGTGTGTGTCAGTCATGTGTGTGTCAGTGTGTGTCAGTCATGTGTGTGTCAGTGTGTTTCAGTCATGTGTGTGTCAGTGTGTGTCAGTCATGTGTGTGTCAGTGTGTTTCAGTCATGTGTGTTTCAGTCATGTGTGTGTCAGTGTGTGTCAGTCATGTGTGTGTCAGTGTGTTTCAGTCATGTGTGTGTCAGTGTGTTTCAGTCATGTGTGTGTCAGTGTGTGTCAGTCATGTGTGTGTCAGTGTGTTTCAGTTATGTGTGTTTCAGTCATGTGTGTGTCAGTGTGTGTCAGTCATGTGTGTGTCAGTGTGTTTCAGTCATGTGTGTGTCAGTGTGTTTCAGTCATGTGTGTGTCAGTGTGTTTCAGTCATGTGTGTGTCAGTGTGTTTCAGTCATGTGTGTGTCAGTGTGTTTCAGTCATGTGTGTGTCAGTGTGTTTCAGTCATGTGTGTGTCAGTGTGTGTCAGTCATGTGTGTGTCAGTGTTTCAGTCATGTGTGTGTCAGTCATGTGTGTGTCAGTGTATGTCAGTCATGTGTGTGTCAGTGTGTGTCAGTCATGTGTGTGTCAGTGTGTGTCAGTCATGTGTGTGTCAGTGTGTTTCAGTCATGTGTGTGTCAGTGTGTGTCAGTCATGTGTGTTTCAGTCATGTGTGTGTCAGTGTGTGTCAGTCATGTGTGTGTCAGTGTGTTTCAGTCATGTGTGTGTCAGTGTGTGTCAGTCATGTGTGTGTCAGTGTGTTTCAGTCATGTGTGTGTCAGTGTGTGTCAGTCATGTGTGTGTCAGTGTGTTTCAGTCATGTGTGTGTCAGTGTGTGTCAGTCATGTGTGTGTCAGTGTGTTTCAGTCATGTGTGTGTCAGTGTGTGTCAGTCATGTGTGTGTCAGTGTGTGTCAGTCATGTGTGTGTCAGTGTGTGTCAGTCATGTGTGTGTCAGTGTGTGTCAGTCATGTGTGTGTCAGTGTGTTTCAGTCATGTGTGTGTCAGTGTGTGTCAGTCATGTGTGTGTCAGTGTGTGTCAGTCATGTGTGTGGTATGTGCAGATTGTTAGAACAGGTTTGAAGATCACGCTGAGATTAATGAACTGTCAGAGCAGAGGGGGCGGAGCCAAAGAGGGGCGGAGCCAAAGAGGACATAATAACTGCTGATCACCCCTGTGTGTGTGTGTGTGTGTGTGTGTGTGTGTGTGTGTGTGTGTGTGATGGCAGGGTTGTGTAATTGCCTGAAGTGAGACGGGGGCAGGAGGAGGGAGACATGTTTCATTAATAAAACACATATTGGAGTTTGTGTGATAAAAATCAGTGGAAGTGTGTTGCCTCTGGACGCCTCTAATTACCCTGCACTCGGACGGCCATCTTGAATGTGTGTGTGTTAGTGTGTGTTAGTGTGTGTGTGTGTGTGTGTGTGTTAGTGTGTGTGTGTGTGAGAGCGGAGCAGCTGTTCCTGAGCTTCAGTTACTAATTTACAGAGACTTCGCTGTGACCCGCGGAAAGATCTGGGAAATGAATAATTTCCGAACGTTCAGAGGAGTTTGTGCTCAGTGGGACTCACACCGACTCTTTCAGATGGACCTGGGTTCACATCCCCACAGGAAGCAAAGTGATCAGCGCCGTTTGTTTGTCTGTGAGCACCCACGTTATGGAGGGATTTCAGGACAGCACTGATGAAACATCTGGGTGCAGGAATGAAACGTCTCCAGGCACAGGAATGAGTTTTTCTGCATTTTATTTTTCTTTTAATTATATATAGGATTGTTAATGACTCTTCTGGCCACCCTGGGAAAGCCATGTTCCAGCTTCTTCCCTCTGGCAGAAGATATCGCTCTTTGAGATGCAGGACATCTCGTTACGCTAACAGTTTTTATCCACAGGCTGTTATCAGTGTGAACAGAGCACTTTAATGATTTGCACTTGTTTTGAAACTGTTTTAGTCGATCCATTTCTCAGTGACATTTGTTTACTGTTTTATTTGTTTTATTTCTGTATTTTAATGTTGTTTTATGTCTGTATTTGTCTGTGCACACTGGAGACTTTTGCTAATGTATTCCAATGTGTTTTTTTTACTGCAAATGGCAAATAAACTTAATCTGATATAACTATAAAATAAAATATACTCAAGTTAAAAGAGAAAACTGTCTGCAGCCGTTATAGAAGAGATGGGGACATTTACCCATCCATGTCAGGGTCAGAGCTGCAGCCAGTTCACAGAGCACCAGCCCCTCCTGCTCCTCCTGCTCCTCCTGGTCCTCACTGATCCTCCTGCTCCTCCTGCTCCTCACTGGTCCTCACTGATCCTCCTGCTCCTCACTGGTCCTCACTGATCCTCCTGCTCCTCCTGGTCCTCACTGATCCTCCTGCTCCTCCTGGTCCTCACTGATCCACCTGCTCCTCCTGGTCCTCACTGATCCTCCTGCTCCTCCTGCTCCTCACTGATCCTCATGCTCCTCCTGCTCCTCCTGGTCCTCATTCATCCTCATACTCCTCCTGGTCCTCACTCATCCTCCTGCTCCTCCTGGTCCTCACTGATCCTCCTGCTCTTCCTGCTCCTCCTGGTCCTCACTCATCCTCCTGCTCCTCCTGGTCCTCACTCATCCTCCTGCTCTTCCTGGTCCTCACTCATCCTCCTGCTCCTCCTGGTCCTCACTGATCCTCCTGCTCCTCCTGCTCCTCATGGTCCTCACTGATCCTCCTGCTCCTCACTCATCCTACTGCTCCTCCTGCTCCTCCTGGTCCTCACTCATCCTCATACTCCTCCTGGTCCTCACTGATCCTCCTGCTCCTCCTGCTCCTCACTGATCCTCATGCTCCTCCTGCTCCTCCTGGTCCTCACTCATCCTCATACTCCTCCTGGTCCTCACTCATCCTCCTGCTCCTCCTGGTCCTCACTGATCCTCCTGCTCTTCCTGCTCCTCCTGGTCCTCACTCATCCTCCTGCTCCTCCTGGTCCTCACTCATCCTCCTGCTCTTCCTGGTCCTCACTCATCCTCCTGCTCCTCCTGGTCCTCACTGATCCTCCTGCTCCTCACTCATCCTACTGCTCCTCCTGCTCCTCCTGGTCCTCACTCATCCTCATACTCCTCCTGGTCCTCACTGATCCTCCTGCTCCTCCTGGTCCTCACTGATCCTCCTGCTCCTCCTGCTCCTCACTGATCCTCATGCTCCTCCTGCTCCTCCTGGTCCTCACTCATCCTCATACTCCTCCTGGTCCTCACTCATCCTCCTGCTCCTCCTGGTCCTCACTGATCCTCCTGCTCTTCCTGCTCCTCCTGGTCCTCACTCATCCTCCTGCTCCTCCTGGTCCTCACTCATCCTCCTGCTCCTCCTGGTCCTCACTCATCCTCATACTCCTCCTGGTCCTCACTCATCCTCCTGCTCCTCCTGGTCCTCACTCATCCTCCTGCTCTTCCTGCTCCTCCTGGTCCTCACTCATCCTCCTGCTCTTCCTGGTCCTCACTCATCCTCCTGCTCCTCCTGGTCCTCACTGATCCTCCTGCTCCTCCTGCTCCTCATGGTCCTCACTGATCCTCCTGCTCCTCACTCATCCTACTGCTCCTCCTGGTCCTCACTCATCCTCCTGCTCTTCCTGGTCCTCACTCATCCTCCTGCTCCTCCTGGTCCTCACTGATCCTCCTGCTCCTCCTGCTCCTCCTGGTCCTCACTGATCCTCCTGCTCCTCCTGCTCCTCATGGTCCTCACTGATCCTCCTGCTCCTCCTGCTCCTCATGGTCCTCACTGATCCTCCTGCTCCTCACTCATCCTACTGCTCCTCCTGCTCCTCCTGGCCCTCACTCATCCTCCTGCTCCTCATGGTCCTCACTGATCCTCCTGCTCCTCCTGGTCCTCACTCATCCTCCTGCTCCTCCTGGTCCTCACTGATCCTCCTGCTCTTCCTGCTCCTCCTGGTCCTCACTCATCCTCCTGCTCCTCCTGGTCCTCACTCATCCTCCTGCTCCTCCTGGTCCTCACTCATCCTCATACTCCTCCTGGTCCTCACTCATCCTCCTGCTCCTCCTGGTCCTCACTCATCCTCCTGCTCTTCCTGCTCCTCCTGGTCCTCACTCATCCTCCTGCTCTTCCTGGTCCTCACTCATCCTCCTGCTCCTCCTGGTCCTCACTGATCCTCCTGCTCCTCATGGTCCTCACTGATCCTCCTGCTCCTCACTCATCCTACTGCTCCTCCTGGTCCTCACTCATCCTCCTGCTCTTCCTGGTCCTCACTCATCCTCCTGCTCCTCCTGGTCCTCACTGATCCTCCTGCTCCTCCTGCTCCTCCTGGTCCTCACTGATCCTCCTGCTCCTCCTGCTCCTCATGGTCCTCACTGATCCTCCTGCTCCTCCTGCTCCTCATGGTCCTCACTGATCCTCCTGCTCCTCACTCATCCTACTGCTCCTCCTGCTCCTCCTGGCCCTCACTCATCCTCCTGCTCCTCATGGTCCTCACTGATCCTCCTGCTCCTCCTGCTCCACACTGATCCTCATGCTCCTCCTGGTCCTCACTCATCCTCCTGCTCCTCCTGGTCCTCACTGATCCTCCTGCTCTTCCTGCTCCTCCTGGTCCTCACTCATCCTCCTGCTCCTCCTGGTCCTCACTGATCCTCCTGCTCCTCCTGGTCCTCACTGATTCTCCTGCTCCTCCTGGTCCTCACTGATCCTCCTGATCCTCCTGGTCCTCACTGATTCTCCTGATCCTCCTGGTCCTCACTGATCCTCCTGCTCCTCCTGGTCTTCACTGATTCTCCTGCTCCTCCTGGTCCTCACTGATCCTCATGCTCATCCTGGTCCTCACTGATCCTCCTGGTCCTCGTGCTTTAAAGTGCTTTAAAGTTTGGGCTGTGACTTCAGTTGTTCTTGACGTCTTCTTTGGAAGTGTTTGAAAAACACGAGATTAAAGAGAACAAATGGATCTGACAGGTAATGTACAGTACGGACCGTAACGAGTCAGACTGTAACGAGTCAGACCGTAACGAGTCAGACCGTAACGAGTCAGACCGTAACGAGTCAGACCGTAACGAGTCAGACCGTAACGAGTCAGACCGTAACGAGTCAGACCGTAACGAGTCAGACCGTAACGAGTCAGGCCGTAACGAGTCAGACCGTAACGAGTCAGGCCGTAACGAGTCAGACCGTAACGAGTCAGACCGTAACGAGTCAGACCGTAACGAGTCAGACCGTAACGAGTCAGACCGTAACGAGTCAGACCGTAACGAGTCAGACCGTAACGAGTCAGACCGTAACGAGTCAGGCCGTAACGAGTCAGACCGTAACGAGTCAGACCGTAACGAGTCAGACCGTAACGAGTCAGGCCGTAACGAGTCAGGCCGTAACGAGTCAGACCGTAACGAGTCAGACCGTAACGAGTCAGACCGTAACGAGTCAGGCCGTAACGAGTCAGGCCGTAACGAGTCAGACCGTAACGAGTCAGACCGTAACGAGTCAGGCCGTAACGAGTCAGGCCGTAACGAGTCAGACCGTAACGAGTCAGACCGTAACGAGTCAGACCGTAACGAGTCAGACCGTAACGAGTCAGACCGTAACGAGTCAGACCGTAACGAGTCAGGCCGTAACGAGTCAGACCGTAACGAGTCAGACCGTAACGAGTCAGACCGTAACGAGTCAGACCGTAACGAGTCAGGCCGTAACGAGTCAGACCGTAACGAGTCAGACCGTAACGAGTCAGACCGTAACGAGTCAGGCCGTAACGAGTCAGGCCGTAACGAGTCAGACCGTAACGAGTCAGACCGTAACGAGTCAGACCGTAACGAGTCAGGCCGTAACGAGTCAGGCCGTAACGAGTCAGACCGTAACGAGTCAGACCGTAACGAGTCAGACCGTAACGAGTCAGACCGTAACGAGTCAGACCGTAACGAGTCAGACCGTAACGAGTCAGACCGTAACGAGTCAGACCGTAACGAGTCAGACCGTAACGAGTCAGGCCGTAACGAGTCAGGCCGTAACGAGTCAGACCGTAACGAGTCAGGCCGTAACGAGTCAGACCGTAACGAGTCAGACCGTAACGAGTCAGACCGTAACGAGTCAGACCGTAACGAGTCAGACCGTAACGAGTCAGACCGTAACGAGTCAGACCGTAACGAGTCAGGCCGTAACGAGTCAGGCCGTAACGAGTCAGACCGTAACGAGTCAGACCGTAACGAGTCAGACCGTAACGAGTCAGGCCGTAACGAGTCAGGCCGTAACGAGTCAGACCGTAACGAGTCAGACCGTAACGAGTCAGACCGTAACGAGTCAGACCGTAACGAGTCAGGCCGTAACGAGTCAGACCGTAACGAGTCAGACCGTAACGAGTCAGGCCGTAACGAGTCAGGCCGTAACGAGTCAGACCGTAACGAGTCAGACCGTAACGAGTCAGACCGTAACGAGTCAGACCGTAACGAGTCAGACCGTAACGAGTCAGACCGTAACGAGTCAGACCGTAACGAGTCAGACCGTAACGAGTCAGACCGTAACGAGTCAGGCCGTAACGAGTCAGGCCGTAACGAGTCAGACCGTAACGAGTCAGACCGTAACGAGTCAGACCGTAACGAGTCAGACCGTAACGAGTCAGACCGTAACGAGTCAGACCGTAACGAGTCAGACCGTAACGAGTCAGACCGTAACGAGTCAGGCCGTAACGAGTCAGACCGTAACGAGTCAGAGCAGACCATTGCTGGGACTCTGGGTCTTTCAGTGGATCAGGATTTTTTTACTTTGATGAAACAATAAAACTGTTAATAAGACAAGTTTATTTGTATCGCACAACGTACTGAACAAAACAAGACAGAAACAGTCACACATTAAAATCATGAATAATTACTCATTGGAAAGAAAGATCCATCCATTTCTTCCCCTTAATCCATTTCTGGGTCGGGGGGTGGCAGTCAGAGATGCACCAGCCCCAAGAAAATTAAAAGAAAGATAAAATATTAAATCTCTCAGTTTGGTTTCAGAGAAGAAGCCTGTCTCACAGTTTAGCATGAATGAAGTGCTCCTCAGAGTCCCAGCAGGAGGCCAGTCCCTGTGCTCCTCAGAGTCCCAGCAGGAGGCCAGTCCCTGTGCTCCTCAGAGTCCCAGCAGGAGTCCAGTCCCTGTGCTCCTCAGAGTCCCAGCAGGAGTCCAGTCCCTGTGCTCCTCAGAGTCCCAGCAGGAGTCCAGTCCCTGTGCTCTTCAGAGTCCCAGCAGGAGTCCAGTCCCTGTGCTCCTCAGAGTCCCAGCAGGAGTCCAGTCCCTGTGCTCCTCAGAGTCCCAGCAGGAGTCCAGTCCCTGTGCTCTTCAGAGTCCCAGCAGGAGTCCAGTCCCTGTGCTCCTCAGAGTCTCAGCAGGAGTCCAGTCCCTGTGCTCCTCAGAGTCCCAGCAGGAGGCCAGTCCCTGTGCTCCTCAGAGTCCCAGCAGGAGGCCAGTCCCTGTGCTCCTCAGAGTCCCAGCAGGAGGCCAGTCCCTGTGCTCCTCAGAGTCCCAGCAGGAGTCCAGTCCCTGTGCTCCTCAGAGTCCCAGCAGGAGGCCAGTCCCTGAGCTCCTCAGAGTCCCAGCAGGAGTCCAGTCCCTGTGCTCCTCAGAGTCCCAGCAGGAGTCCAGTCCCTGTGCTCCTCAGAGTCCCAGCAGGAGTCCAGTCCCTGTGCTCCTCAGAGTCCCAGCAGGAGTCCAGTCCCTGTGCTCCTCAGAGTCCCAGCAGGAGACCAGTCCCTGTGCTCCTCAGAGTCCCAGCAGGAGTCCAGTCCCTGCGCTCCTCAGAGTCCCAGCAGGAGGCCAGTCCCTGTGCTCCTCAGAGTCCAGGCTGGTTCATGGGATAACAATATTATTAGTAAGTATTCAGTCAAAGTAAAAATGTCCAAAAAACGGTGCAATAGACACTTTGAAATCAAGTGAACGACACCTGTCGATATTTTCACTTTTTGCAGTGTTGCAAGTTCTTACATTGTTTTCTTAATTGTAAAGATGAATATTTCTGTGGTAGCTGCGAGTTTTTCCAAATCTAAAACCTGTTTTTTGTTCTCATTAGTGAGACATCAGTCCCACTCTGGCAGAGGGAGAAGGCCCCAAAATGAGTGCACTTTTGAAGATGATGAAGATCATAAATCAGCCCAAGGAGGACTCCACAGATCACGTCTCGCTCCAAGCTCAAAGGTTACACACTTTCATAAAAACAAACTGACAAAGTGTCTGTCAAATGTAACACAACCAGATCAAATTAGTTTCCAAACTCGACAACGACAGACGCACAATGCAGTCAGCAGCTGTGTGTACATAGACAGACCTTTAGTATTATGAAAACAATCGTGTTTTAGAAGTTATAGATCATAGTTTTCAGTTCCCACGAGGATGAGATGGTTCTGGAGTCATGTGACATCACAATAGTGAACATTATATACTTGACTTTTGCTTCTGCATCCTGCTACAGTTATAGGGCGACAGTTGGTAGAGCATTGGCCTTTTGAGCCAGAGGGTCGTGGGTTCGAACCCGACTCTCACTGTCTGCTGTCGTTGTGTCCTTGGGCAAGACAGTTAACCTCTGGGAACAGCAGGTGCCACAGTGGGGCGGCTGTGGCTGTAAAGTGCCAAACTGTGGTTGTGTCCTTAGGCAAGATACTTCCCCCACATTAGAATGAGTCTGGTGTGTGTGTGAATGGTTGGTGGTGGTGGGAGGGGCCGATGGCACAGACTGGTTGCCTCGCTTCTGTCAGTGTGCCCCAGGGCAGCTGTGGCTACAGTACTAGGTTATCACCACCGAGTTTGGAGAGAAAGAATAATTATGTGAAGAGACTGAGAGTCCAGAAAAGCGCTGTATGAAACCGATGCATTATTATTAGACTTATTTCCTTATTATGCTAAAGACATTTTTCATTATTCATTCATATATAACTGGTGATGCAACACTGAAATTTCCCCACTGTGGAGCGGATAAAGGATCTCTTAATCTCAATCTTAATCTTAATCCCTACATGCATCATACATGGGACTGTCAAAACTCAAACTCATTGTTTTTGATACACATGAAACAAAAACGGTCACACAGTCGCACTTTGTATCAACTAGAAGCAGACTTTAAAGCAGCTGTGTCTGTGTTCAAGTCTCTCCATGGGCTCAGAACTAAATGTGGAGGCAGCATTTCAGATTCATGCAGCAGAAAAAAAAAAAATCAGGGAAAAAAAATTGGATTTTTGTTGTTGAAAAAAATAGATACCTGCCTTTCAACTTAAATAGATTTCTAGACCATGAACGCAACTTATTGGAAACAAAGAACATTTACATTTACAGAACAACAATAATGCATCGTTCAAACTGTAAAGGGGATTTCACACCGGACTCAACTTCGACTTCAGAAGCTTCAGGTTTGTATTGAAAATGAATAATGAAGCGCGTCAAAAGCTTCAAAACACGCTCACATTACCCAAGTCACTTGAAGCTTCTGACGCGCGTAACGCTCGCATCTCTTTTGCCGATCCCTTGACGGCGAAGTTGAGAAAAGCTGAAGTTTTCGAGCTTGACACCGGGCTTCAACCAATCAGGAGACGAAAACCAGCATTGTCATTATTGTTATTAGTAACGTTCTTAATAAGTAAGTAACAAAATCATGTACACATGCTGTGAAGTTAAAGTAATGTGTTTAATATAAGAACAAGCTGACGCTGAGTCTGGCTCAGCCCCAGGCGGGAGCGAGGCGAGTCCCAGGCGGGAGCAAAGCTAGTCCCAGGCGGGAGCGAGGCGAGTCCCAGGCGGGAGCGAGGCCAGCCCCAGGCGGGAGCGAGGCGAGCCCCAGGCGGGAGCAAAGCGAGCCCCAGGCGGGAGCGAGGCGAGCCCCAGGCGGGAGCAAAGCGAGTCCCAGGCGGGAGCGAGGCGAGCCCCAGGCGGGAGCGAAGGTAGCCCCAGGCGGGAGCGAAGCCAGCCCCAGGCGGGAGCGAAGGTAGCCCCAGGCGGGAGCGAAGCCAGCCCCAGGCGGGAGCGAGGCCAGCCCCAGGCAGGAGCGAAGCCAGCCCCAGGCAGGAGCGAGGCGAGCCCCAGGCAGGAGCGAAGCCAGCCCCAGGCAGGAGCGAGGCGAGCCCCAGGCAGGAGCGAGGCGAGCCCCAGGCAGGAGCGAGGCGAGCCCCAGGCGGGAGCAAAGCGAGCCCCAGGCGGGAGCAAAGCGAGTCCCAGGCGGGAGCGAGGCGAGCCCCAGGCGGGAGCGAGGCGAGCCCCAGGGGGGAGCGAAGGTAGCCCCAGGCGGGAGCGAAGGTAGCCCCAGGCGGGAGCGAAGGTAGCCCCAGGCGGGAGCGAAGGTAGCCCCAGGCGGGAGCGAAGGTAGCCCCAGGCGGGAGCGAAGGTAGCCCCAGGCGGGAGCGAAGGTAGCCCCAGGCGGGAGCGAAGGTAGCCCCAGGCGGGAGCGAAGGTAGCCCCAGGCGGGAGCGAAGCCAGCCCCAGGCGGGAGCGAAGCCAGCCCCAGGCGGGAGCGAGGCGACATGGGGAAGTACCGCTGAGAGCAAAACTCCTCTGTACGCAGCTCCTGGAGTAAACTCAGCAAACACTGCAGCCTCAGTCTGTGGTGAACCCAGAACAGGTTTTGTAGAAACCCTACGACAACGTTGTTTGGTTTTTTATAACAAAAAAAGGCTGCTCTCTGGAAATCCACCGTTGTGTCTGGACTAACGGCAACAGAGAAGCTCCTCCCAGCGGCGTCAGGCGCGTCAGGAGCTTCAAGCTCCAAGGCCTGCACACCGGACCCAGCGTCAAAAGCGTTTTGAAGCTTTTTGTGTGAGAGCACCTTAATCATGAACTTCCAAACCACAGTGTACGTCCCTGCTGTGAAAGCAGTTGTCTTCGCCGATGGAGCAGATAAGAATCATTACAGGTCGACATGTTCAGACACTGCTAAGTAAACAGAGGCCGTGTGTGAACTTCATTACCTCGCCGTTTGGTGCCAAATCCACCGCGAACATGAGGGTGGAGCCGCTCCGTACTTTCCTCTGCTTTATTTTGAGCTCTCTAAACGCAGACAGCCTGAAAGACTCCACGCCAAGACTTACTGTTCACGCCGAAGCCTACAAATACTTCACCAATACCTGCAGCTCCGCTCTCAAATAATCTGTGATCTGTGATAGAGAAATGTACATGTCACATTTACCACAGACAGAATCACTCAGATTGTGCAAAGGACAGAAGTGTGAAACTTGTTAAGGCAAAGGCAGGACAAATAGTCTGTGCAGGATATATTATGTACAATAAAGAGTGGCAATCAAAGAAACAGTGTCAATAGTAGTGCAGGTTTTTTTAGTCCTAGTGCAAGTGACTTAAAGTGACTTGTTGTACAGTCTGACAGTGGTGGGGATAAAGGCCCTGCTCCTTCTTGCACTGAGGGTGCCTCAGTCTTCCACTGAAGGAGCTCCTCAGCTCCTCCTCAGTCCTGTGCAGTGGGAGGTATTCGAGCCCACCATGACCCATGTCCCCTGCTCCCACTGATGTCTGCTGTCATTGTGTCCCTGGGCAAGACACTTAACTCCACATTGCCTAAAGCCCCCGCTGAAAGACCAATGCCATGTCGTCGATGACGGAGAAGCCATCTTCCTGTGGACCCACCACCTGCAGAGGATCAGAGAAACTGGTGCTGTGAGACTTGGGGCAGCTCTGATTCTGAACTCATTTGTCTCATTTCTCTCATTATCCAAATATGTCCAGAGGTGTTATGCTGTAGCTACATCAACTTTACTCCTGAAAGCCTGAAAACCTGCTCTATACCTTTTGTTTTGATTTCATTTTTCAGATCCAGGCAATAATCCGTTTCTAACTAGTTTATCCTGGTTGCGCTGCCACTGTTGGTGTCGAGGCGTTCTTTAGACTCAGATTTGTTTTGACAGCAGTCCCAGTCCTCGGCCTATATTGTTTTTTCAGCCCAGAGCCCGGGATTAAACCCATGATGGTAGCTGGATGGTTGGGTCCAGGAGGAGATGTGTGTTTGAACAACTGCTGCAGAGCTTTTTGGAGAAGGTGATAGTGTCAGGACCTAAACCCTGCGTGTTTTGGTTTAAATCTGGGTGGATTTACCAAAGTTCTGCCCAAAGAAGGACCTCATTCGGACTCTGACCCAGGTCCATAACCTGAGTTTTAATGAAGTTGGTTCCAGAGCGTGGCTTCTGCTCATGCTCCTTTGACCTCATCGCACTCACTCCTGTTTCTCTTCAAGAAAACTGCGCTGCTGTTGCATCGGAATTTCCATATTAGCAGAAATAACAACAGAAGCATCATGTTTTTGTTTTACATTTTCTCTGTTCTCAGCATTGAAACACAGCTTTCATTAGATTTTAGTATTTACATGATTGTGTGAATTATGACTTCTTTATATGTGTGTATGTTTGGATTGTGCTATACAAATAACCTCTGATTGAATACAAATATAAATTAAATATCCTTACTCACTTACTTATTACTTACTAATATACCTAATATAAATATTAATATATTAATATAAAGTTCCCCTGAAAACACATCTGAATATCAAAGAAAAGTCTTTAAAATCTCATGTGAGTGACATTGACTCCCAGAGACTCTATCACTGCCTCAGCACCGACTCTTGGCCCTGTCCATCACAGAATGATGCAAACAGAATCATTAATTGGATTTTAGAACTGTATGAAGCAGTTGGATGAATGATTGAGAAGACTGCCCCAGAGGCCGGTCCTTTGTGCCGCTCTGTGACACGTTGATTTGGAGGATTTTCAGCCTGAAAACAACATAAAAAACCACAAACATTTATGTCCAAATCACAAATCGGTAAACAACATGCGCCCTGATCTAAACGTGTGCGTGTGTGTATGCGTGTGTGTGTGTGTGTGTGTGTGCGTGTGCGTGTGAGTGTGCGTGTGTGTGTGTGTGCGCGTGTGTGTGTGTGTGCGTGAGCGTGTGCGCGTGTGTGTGTGCGTGTGCGTGTGTGCGTGTGCGTGTGAGTGTGCGTGTGTGTGTGCGTGTGCGTGAGCGTGTGCGCGTGTGTGTGTGTGTGTGTGTGGCCGTGTGTGTGTGTGCGTGTGCGCGTGTGTGTGTGTGTTGTATTGAATTGTCTGAGAACAATTTTGTTCCAAATCAGTGTGTGTTGAATGACTGAGCGGGGCTAGAATTCAATCTGAAGAAACAAAAACATTAATGCATGAGAAACATTTATTTGTTTGGCGCATTGACCCCAGCAGAGACCCCGGGGTCAAGCACTGGTGGTGGCTAAGCATGGTGTGAATGGGGCGGAGCAGGAGCCAGAGCAGGAGCCAGAGCAGGAGCCAGAGCAGGAGCCAGAGCAGGAGCCAGAGCAGGAGCCAGAGCAGGAGCCAGAGCAGGAGCCTAGAGCAGGAGCCAGAGCAGGAGCCAGAGCAGGAGCCAGAGCAGGAGCCTAGAGCAGGAGCCAGAGCAGGAGCCTAGAGCAGGAGCCTAGAGCAGGAGCCTAGAGCAGGAGCCAGAGCAGGAGCCAGAGCAGGAGCCAGAGCAGGAGCCTAGAGCAGGAGCCTAGAGCAGGAGCCTAGAGCAGGAGCCTAGAGCAGGAGCCAGAGCAGGAGCCAGAGCAGGGGCCTAGAGCAGGAGCCAGAGCAGGAGCCAGAGCAGGAGCCAGAGCAGGAGCCAGAGCAGGAGCCAGAGCAGGAGCCTAGAGCAGGAGCCTAGAGCAGGAGCCTAGAGCAGGAGCCTAGAGCAGGAGCCTAGAGCAGGAGCCAGATCAGTCTGTTTCTGTTTTAAGATTGTTGAAAACTTTTCATTGTTTTATTATTTTGACCTATTTTGGTGAAAAACCAGCAGATTAGAATTTACATTATTGAGAAATGTTTGATAAAAGAGAGTGTTTTGACGGAGTAGCAGACGTCACACTCCCATGATTCACTACACACACACATCCGTGTTAAAATCGGGGAGTTTGGGTCCAGTTTATTCTATCATAAATGTAATTATGACCAAAAAGTCAAGTCTAAACTGTCTCACTTTAATGGATTTATAATTAACTATGTAAAATGAATCAGCCGCCTTCAAACCTCCACAGTTCTCAGTGATTGAAAATAATGAAGGCTGTAATGTTCATCAGGAGGACGTGTAACGACTGCAGTGTTTAAAGTAAAACAAATTAAGGCTGTAATGTTCATCAGGAGGACGTGTAACGACTGCAGTGTTTAAAGTAAAACAAATGAAGGCTGTAATGTTCATCAGGAGGACCTGTAACGACCACAGCGGCGGTGGCCCTGCTGTATGTACAATGGAAACTGTTTTGGAGACACACACTTCCTGTTTCAAACAGAAACAACACACCTCGTGCCTCACACATGCACACCCCCCTCACAGTCTCCTATCGTCCAGAGGTTGGACTTCAAACATCGCTAGTAAACCTCACATAAATAAATGGAAAGTGGATTTTTGGAGAAGATGCTGTACTTTGGTTAATTCTGTAAATCTGAAACAATCACATTAAAACAAAGGAACTTCTCTCCTCTGACTCCCAGAGGCCAGTATTCATTTCAAAGTCCCCCCTGCTGTGAACTCCGGGCTTATTGCTTTGTTTTTCTTTTTACATGTAAGAGCTTCATATCCCAGGGCAAGCTATAGAACCTCTGCTGTTTCCACGGCAACCACCACCCGCCTCAGCATCCCCCTCTCATCAGCATCTCTGTGCACCACAAACTACAGACCTCACTGACAGAGGCATATGAATATGAATATGATATGAATATGAATATCGGATTATTCTTTTAAATATGTACTTCATATATGTATGTGTATATATATATATATATATATATATATATATATATATATATATCAATCAATCAATCAATCAACTTTATTTGTATGGCGCCTTTCCAACACAAGGCCACTCAAAGCGCCTCACAACCCACATAGTATCACACAAATCAGAGACATCAATAAATACATTAAAAACAGAATAAAATCACAAATAATGGAAAAAAATATATATATATTAAAAGCACACACGGGATTAAAATAATAAATAACCACAATGCATTAAAAAAAAAAGAGTATGTATCAATAGAATCCTTCAGCCGTATGCACAGCTAAAAAGAACAGTTTTTAGCCCCGATTTAAAAATTGCCAGAGTAGATGCTAGCCTCACATCTTCAGGAAGATTGTTCCAGATTTTAGCTCCATAAATCTCAAACGCTGCCTCCCCATGTTTAGTTCTGACTCTTGGAACCAGTAAGAGGCTACCTCCTGTGCTCCTCAGAGTCCGGGTCGGTTCATATGGGACTAACAAGTCGCTTAAGTACCCTGGTGCGAGGCCATGGAGAGACTTGTACACAAGCAGTGCTGCTTTGAAGTCTATTCTCTGAGCCACAGGAAGCCAGTGCAGAGACCTGAGAACTGGACTAATGTGGTCATATTTCCTGGTCCTGGTCAGGACTCGAGCTGCAGCATTTTGGACATACTGCAGTTGTTTTACAGCCTGTTTGGAGAGACCTGTGAGCAGGTCATTGCAGTAGTCTAACC